TCTAAGTCTGTCCGTCTCAGGAAGCTCAACTCGTATGTGCATCCTCGTGCTACTGTCAGAGGTTGTGAACTGTTTTGGAACAAGCAACCGACTCTCACTTATCTAGATGTCATCAAGAACAAGCAAAATACCTACATGGATGTCAAATGGATAGAAATGCATCACCTGAGGAAGGACAAGTTCCGTCAGTACTTTGGAGAAGCTCTGGATTTGGTGGAGCAGTTTGGTATTGAACATGTGATCTCATTTCACCTTGACTATGACCCTGAACTTGTTTGTCAGTTCTTTCCCTCAGTTTACTTTCACCCTGATGAGGAGCGGAGGATGACCTGGATGACCAATGGATGTAAGTTGACTGCTACCTGCAAGGAGTTCATGGATTTGCTCCATGTTCCTGATGACGGGCTCGACACTCCCGTGGGTGTTCGCCCCCATGCTAATCCTGAGTCTGCTAACAAGGGCAAGCTTCATCCATACTATGTTGAGAAGGCGCTTCCCAATGGCAAGTCAGGGTGGGTGCTCAACTCCTTTCTGGATATCATGTATCGCATCTTCCGCAACTCTTAGTACCCTCGCATTGGTGACAAGGACAAGGTTCATGCCTATATGGTGGATATGATGCTCCTATGCGAGGAGGCTTGTGTGTCTTAGACTCAGCCACTTGATGTCTCACACATCATGTGGTGTGAGCTTCGGTTTGCAGTGTTCAACCGCAAGGTGCCTATCTATGGGCCCTATCTGTTTCTGCTGATCTCAAAGACTTGGGAGAAGATGTTCCCTGGTGAGGAGTTCCTTGCGCCAGACTGGATTCGACATGATCCCATCTGTCTCCGTGTCAAGCCCAACTGGGTCAACACTACTACTCGTGTTGAGGCGTCTGTTGCTAGGGCTGCTGTTGATGAGGAGGATGCTGGCGCAGAGGATGTTGCTGAGGACCATGCTGCCAGGTCTTCCCATAGTTCCTCTATGCCCTCGTGGGCCAAGAAGCTGAAGGACAAGATGAAGACTCTTTTCTGCATCCAAGCTAAGGTCCAGTACAGGACTCACGTGGCATCCAAGGAGAGTCGTCGCTGGGACAAGAAGATCTTGCAGCTATATGGCAAGGATGTGTCTGGCGATTCTGAAGATCGCATCACTCTAGAGGCCGAGTGGATGGAGAAGCAAGGCTACAGATGTACTGATTCTGAGGAGGACGTCGAGGAGACCATCCCTGCTACCGAGGAGTCAGACGAGGAGCGTTGGGATGAGTTCCCTGTTTGAGCCACCCCTTGTGTGTAGGTGTCCTCTCTGCCTTTTTGGCGTCTCGATGCCAAAGGGGGAGAGAGTGTAGGGATTTGTGAGTCGTGTGTCATCGTTCGTGTTCGGTGTGTTTGCTGCTTTCTCGTTTGAACCTAGTTTGAACCTCGTTTCAGTTGCTTTGGGTTGCTTTACTTCATATGGTGTAAGACATATGCACTCTATCTATCTTAGCAAGCTTGTGATATATTGTGCTACATTTGTGCTATGCTCTGCTTAGATGTTAGTTATCATGCCTTTGTCTCTAAAATATAGGGGGAGTGTTGATCCTAGTTTATGTGCTATGCAGTCCAAAGCATCTATCTAGATTGCACACATCTAGGGGGAGCCCGTCTATATTCTAGAGAGGAGGGGTTTGCCTTTGCCCTATATTATCTCATCTATGTGCAAATCCCGTATTGTCATCAATCCACCAAAAAGGGGGAGATTGTAAGGGCATATTTATCCCTTAGGTGTTTTGGTGGTTGATGACAATGCTTTTGCGGACTAATCGTGTGCCCCTCGAAGACTATTGAAGACGGCATTGTTCTACGTTTCTCTTTGGTGGATTTGAGTCGTAGGAGAGCCGTACTATTAAGAGGGGGTCCGCATCGGAAAGGTTCGGGTGGAATCATCACGTGCACGTTTCCTTCCTTGCCTCCACCTTTCCCTTGCACTTTGGAGCGTTTCTCCGTTATCCTCTTTGTGCTTGCTCTGACGGCTACTGTTGTACTTGCGGTAGTACTGCTCTATGGAGCGGTAGTACTGCAAGCACCTGCGGTAGTACCGCTGGGGTTCACGGTAGTACCGCTCCTCTGGAGCCTTAGTACCATGGCTCCCAGGCCTAGTGCTGCTCCGGTATGGTAGTTGGGGCGGATGTAATTTTTTACATCCGCGCCCACACGGTAGTACCGCACGTCCAGCGCGGTAGTACCGCGGGAGGCCACGGTAGTACTGCTCCCCTGGAGTCGTAGTACCGTGGCCCTCATACCTAGTACCGCCGCGTCGCGGTAGTAGGAGCGGATGTAATTTTTTACATCCGCGCCTCAATGGTAGTACCGCGCCTCGTGTGCGGTAGTACCACGCGCGGCCTGGCTCAGCTAGTTTATGGTAGTACCGCGTCTTAGCAGTAGTACCGCGTCGGATTTTTGCATTGTTTCGTTTTCAGCGGAAGTAGGCACAGATGTATTTCTTTTCATCCGTGCTCCTCGTAGGCTTGGACTTTCCTGCCTTGCGGTAGTACCGCAAGGGGGAGCAATAGTACCGCGCTAGCGGAAGTACTGCTCTTAGTCAGGCAAGTCCCAGCCTCTGCTGCTGCCGTGGAAGTACCGTGGTCCATCACGGTAGTACCGCATGGCCTTGCGGTAGTACCGCGCTCCTGGAGCGGTAGTACCGCATGTCGCAGGCTGAACATGTGGATAACGGTTGGATCTCTTCCATGACTATAAAAGGGGCGTCTCCTACCTCTAGTTGACTACCTCTTCCACCTCTAAGCTCCATTGTATCTCCAAGCTCCATTTTCGCCCGATCTCTCTCCCTAGCCAATCAAACTTATTGATTTGCTCGGGATTAGTTGAGAAGGCCTCGATCTACACTTCCACCAAGAGAGATTTGATTCCCCCCACTTATCCGTAGCGGATCTTGTTACTCTTGGGTGTTTGAGCACCCTAGACGGTTGAGGTCACCTCGGAGCCATAGTCCATTGTGGTGAAGCTTCGTGGTGTCGTTGGGAGCCTCCAATTAAGTTGTGGAGATTGCCCCAACCTTGTTTGTAAAGGTTCGGTCGCCGCCTTCAAGGGCACCAATAGTGGAATCACAGCATCTTGCATTGTGTGAGAGAGTGAGGAGATTACGTTGGCCCTAGTGGCTTCTTGGGGAGCATTGTGCCTCCACACCGCTCTAACGGAGACGTACTTCCCTTTAGAAGGAAGGAACTTCGGCAACACATCCTCGTCTCCACCGGCTCCACTCTTGGTTATTTCGTGCCTTTACTTTTGCAAGCTTACTTGTGTTGTATTCATTGCTTGCTTATGTGCTAGTTGTTATTGCATCATATAGGTTGCTCACTTAGTTGCATATCTAGACAACCTATTTTGTTGCAAAGTTTAAATTGGTAAAGAAAAGCTTAAAACTTGTTAGTTGCCTATTCACCCCTCCCCCTCTAGTCAACTATATCGATCCTTTCAACGTCGCTGTCGCCGCGGCGAACTCGCCATCCGCAACCGTGTCCATGCCGACGTCCCCGCCCGCCGGCTTGAATTCGCGTCGGCGGTTCCGACGAAGGCGACGAATACATGAGGCGGAGGCAAACGGCCAGCGAATCGCGGCCGCAACCCGGCCGAAAGTGTGGCTCGACCGGCCAAAATCTTGAAGGCAGCCGCAGCGGCTCGGGCCGATGATTCGCAGCCATGGTCGCGGGTATTCTCCAGCAGCCAAGGAGCCGTTCCTCGACCTCCACCGCCGCCGACGGCGGCCGTGGAGGAAGATGTGGACACGCCGACGGCCACCGCCTCCAACATGTTTGATGATATGTCACAAAGGTAAAAAAATATGTGTCACAAGAATATGAAACCCAATATGGTGATGACAGTCTTGACATGGATGATGAGGGCTTTGTTGCGAAGGGAAGAAGTGGAGATTATACCAATGCAGAGGATGTGTTGATATGCACCGCATGGAAGAAAGTCTCTCAAGATGCATCCGTTGGAAGCGCCCAAACGGTAAACACTTATTGGCAACACATCAAGGATTACTTCGATGAGTGCAACACAAGTGGTCACTTCCGTTCGAGCGACTCTCTTCGCCAACGTTGGTCCACCATCAACGCTGAATGCTACAAGTGGGCCGGTTGCTTGTCAAATGTTGCTCGCATGAACCCAAGTGGTTGCGGTGATAGTGACTTGGTAAATATTTCCTCTTTGTGCATGCTTTCTCAAATATTGGATTGTTCCACATTTTGATGATGACGTGTTGGTTGTTTTATTGTAGAAAATGATTGCGCAAGGTTGTTTCGAGAGACGAACATGAAAGGCGAGAAGAAGAAGAAGAAGAATTGAAAAGCTTTCACTTTTCATCATTGTTACAAAGAGCTCAAGGATGAGGAGAAGTGAAAAACTAAAACAAAGAAGCCGGTGATGATGATGATCGTACCACGGTTAACAACGCCGGTGGTGTTGATGACCCGCATGAATGATATTCATGTGCATTTTAATTTGTAGGGCGAAAAACTTTTATTGGGACGATGCATTTTGGGTAGAGGGATTTGAAACTATGATGATGATGATGCACCTTTGTTAGGGATTTGAAACTATGATGATGATGCACTTTAATTTGAAAATTTAAGTGTTATTTCAATGCAAAACCACGGCTGTACAGCAGCCGGCGGTCGGTTTTTTTGTTTTGGACCATCGGTTAGAGTTGCTCTTTTACATCTCCGTTTTGGACCATCTGTTGGAGTTGAGCTTTTTCGAAGATGTAAAAACACTTTTTGGTGTTTCAAATTTTGACATAACGAATTTAAAGCACCAAAATATACATCATTTATTGGAGATGCTCTTAGTTAGACAATCGTGAATGGAACACGTGATGATCACTTCAGATGCTCCCTTCCAAATCGATATTTGGTTTACTCGAAATTCATCTCATTGCCTGACAAAAACTCCGCAAACCATAACTTTCAGCAATTCAGAACCCGAGGTCTACGCCGATGTTTTTGTTTTCGCGCCCTACACGATCAACGGCTCGTCGGGAGCGGCGGGCTGGTGGTTCACGTCGATGCCGGGGAGGTCCGAGTTGACCGAGAACCTGAGCCACCGCTTCTTCTCCACGAACTTGAGCACAGGCTGCAGCACGAGCCCGACAGCCACGGCGCCGAGGCTTACCAGCGCCACCTTCAGCGTCGACAGCGCGAGCACCGCCACGATCAGCGCCGTCGCGGGCACCAGCATTGCCACGCACCCGGCTGTGCCCAGCGGCACCCTGTACGGCCGCGGGGCGTCGGGCCGCCTCACCCTCAGCAGGACGAACGACAGGAACTCGAGGAGCATGCCGAAGCAGTAGAGGAAGTTCTCGGCCGCCACGATCTCCTGGAAGCTCATCGTCGACAGCAGCAGCACGCCGGAGGCCGAGAAGAGGATGCCGACCGGCGGGGTTCCGTACCGCGACCGGGTCGCGAAGAAGGCCGGCAGCATGCCCCGCTCCGCCATGCCCAGGAGCTGGTACGAGTCGCTGCTCATCTCCGCCACGAACATGCCCATGTTCGACATCGCCGCCGCCGCCTGCATCCACCACATCAGCCACGCGCCGCTGAGCAGCTTCGCGATGTCCGCGAAGTAGCCGTCTGTCCACTGCTCCCTGTCCAGAGGCACCGCGCCTGTCCCGGTGAGGAGAGGGTACAGGTAACCGACGACCACGAAGATGACCGCGTAGAACAGGGCCTTGGGCAGAGTCTTGGCAGGGTTCCTGATCTCGCCGGACAACGTGCTGATCGAGTCCCAGTAGTTGAGGTTCCAGAACAGAGTGTTCAGGTACAGGTTCCAGTCGACGGTGTGGAGATCGACCTCGAGCCACCTCGCCGGCCGGAGCTTGGGGATGGAGATGAAGCCCATGACCAGGAAAGGCAGGAGGGAGAAGACCCCGAGGCAGATGGCAGCCCAGCCAACGACGGTGAGCCCGCGGTAGTTGAGGAGCGTGAGCAGCGCGGTCAGCCCAAGGACAGCGCCGGTCCTGAGCGCGCCTCCGCCCAGCGCCGGGACGCCGGACTTGAGGTAGTCCAAGAAGAGGACGGGGTAGAGAGCATTGTCGATGAGGCCGCTGAGCCATTTCATCCAGCCCTGCTGGAACCCCCAGTAGGGGCCGAGCGCCGAGGCCACCCACACGACGTAGCCGCTGTTCTCCGGGAACATGGTGCCCAGCTCCGCCGTGATTAGCGCCTCCGGGACGCTCCAGATGAGGGGGAGGGCAAGGAAGCCCGCGATGGCGAGGAGCGGACCCGCCGCGCCCACGCTGTCCTCGATCCCGAACGGCCCGCCGGAGACCTCGTAGAAGATGATGAAGATGAGCGGCACGATCGAGAGCGACGCCGGCGATGGCGCTGGCGCGGCGCCCGCGCCAGCGCCGCCAGGGAGGCCCTGGTACTCCGCGCCTTCCTCGCCCATCGCCGGTGCGGCGCCGGCCGCCGGTCCGCCGTTCTGAGCGGGCTTCTGCTGGAGAAGAGAAAGACATACACTTCTTTAGATGACGGCATTAGAGCATGAGAAGTGTTTGAGTTGTGGCAACAAGCGATCAACTAACAGGATACCGAACGCAGATGCAGTATCAAATGCTCATTCGCAGAAAAGAAAGAAAAGATGCAGTATCAATTCAAATGCAAGGATGGAGCGAGGAGATCTGAATCATATTTGCCGCGCAGCCTCGGTTGAGTTGGGCATTTCGCCGCTAGCCTACGCAGACGGCGGCGGCGTGCGTTGTCCATGTCCGGCTCATCGGTATTCGGTAACATCTGTCGCTGGACGGACCGCCACGTCGCTTGCTCCGCGTATACACGTATACTACAGCTCTACAAGGCCAGCAACATCATCACCCATAGTAGTGCTGGATGAGATTGCCGTGGGCTTGCCGATTGCAACGCTCTCGGAGGCCTCTTCTCGGGGCCTTTGTGAGATGAATGGGCCCTGAGTGCTCTGCTTCAAGGTTCGTCTGCTCCAGAAAAAAAAAGAAAAAAAAACTCTGCTCTCGCACGCAGAATCGAATCTCACTCAAAGCCGCGTGATGGCGAGGCAACCAAATCGAAGCGCCAAGTGTACGAGAGGGAGAAGATGATGTGGAAAGGAGATCGGGCGAGCTCACCTCTTGCCCTCCGTCAGCAGAGCCTCCTGCTCCTGCGGCCACCGCTGCAGCCACCGGCGGCGGCGGCGGCGGCGGCAGGCTAGATAGCGCCACCCCCGGCGGCCCGACGCTCCCCATCGGTTCGCGATTCCGCGCCTCCCACGGCTCCTCTCGAGTGCCAATAAAGTAGGCAAGGCGGCGCGGCGTGGAACGTGTAGATACCGCGCAGCGCAGCGCAGAGCTTGGCGGAGTGATTGAGTGAAGTATCCCCCGAGCCCCCAAATCAAGCGCAAATTTGTATAATAATGGGATGCAGCGTGTAGCAAGGGGTGACTGGATAAGGTTTCATTCCTTTCCCGGGGAGAAGGGCCAGATTTGTTTGGACCGTTGTCTTTCTGAGCCCCTGCGGATATGTGCAATAAAAAACACGATAAACATGTCACATGCAAGATATGTGTAGCTTGCGAGCTCAGTGCTTCTCGCCTACACGTCCTTCATTTTTCCCGGACAAGAGACTTTCACTAATCGAGCATTCCGCTTTAACTATGCTGGCTCTCAAGCCAGCAAGCGGTGTGAGCTGTTGCGAGCGACTCATAGGAGGTGTTTGGTTCCCTCAGTTTTACCCGTTATCTGATTTCGTTAATTGTGTTTGGTTAGCTGGGCCCGGTAACAAATACCGCCGTAATGGGTTACAGCCCAGTTCAACTCTGATTCCGCCCCACCCCAGCCGTAAATAGGTCCCGTTACCACCAACTATGCCGCTCGAACCCTCCGCCCACGATCTTTCCTCTGCAACTGCTTGCGGAGGCCACATCCCGCTTCTGGTCCTGGCCTGGCGAGGGCGCAGAAGACGTACGAGGCGGCGCAGGTTGGCGGGCAGGAGAACGTCGTGGCTGATGGGGAGGCCGGTGCAGCGGCCGGCGAGTTAGTTGCTGATGGCGGAGTGGCCGGAGGTGCCTTGCAGCCTCAGCTTCGTGAGTGGCCAGAGGAAGCTGGCCTTGTTGTAGGTCGGGTGGGTGCTTCCGCCGGCGGCCGGCGACGATGGTGAAGAAGAAGCGACCACCATCTGCCTTGTCTGCTCTCTTTCCTTTGCCACTGGCGGCCAAAGCAAAGACGACACTCGATTCCTTTACTGGCATGAACCAAACAGGACAGAGAATTATCTGTTACATCCGTAATTCCAGCGTGATTTGATTCCCTTACCATTTTCATTACCACTCTCTGAAACAAACACCTCCATAGAGGCAATGGTATAACTCTGTTCACATGCCAGCTAATCTTAACTAGCCTAGTGTTCCTTTCATGAACCTCGGCCGATTAACCTCCTTCGCTTGCACCTGTTTGAAGTATAAAGTAAAAAAATGAGAGAGTTGAACAAAAGATGATCCATTAGTTTTTATTTTTTTTGAGCTTATCCATTAGTCTTTGTTGATGATAGAAGTGGGCTATTTACACCCGGGCGGAAGTACACATGTTACTTGGGAGTCAAGTATATTCAAAGTTACTTGAGAGACAAAGAATTACATAGTTGTCTTGGGAGCCAAGGAAGTACATGGTTGCTTGAGAACCAAGCAACCAATCTAACAATTAACTTAGTCCTAATTAGCAACTATTCTATTCTTAACACTCCCCCTTGCACAACACCTCTGCTTGGATATATCCATCATCTTCACAGATTCTTTGAATAATCTTGAATGTCTCCTCCAAAAATCCTGTGGGAAAAATATGAGGAGAATAGTGCAGATATGTTGCCAAAACTCCTTTAAACCCAATGGAAAAATAATAAGGAGAAAATGATGCAACATATAACGATTATTGGCTCTTGATAACTCATATGAGAAAAACCTTTGAAGAAGGAGAAGACTCATCGGTGAGTTTAGAGAACAATTAATATGTCTTGAGCACTTTCTTTAAGAAAACAATAGAGAAATCGGAAAGTATGACGTATGATCTTTGGTAAGATATTGCCTCGTGAAAAACCATTATGAGAATCTTTGAAAGAAAACTCACAAGGGAAAAGAGTGGATATGATATGCCAATGAAAACTCCTTTAAAACACAGTGGAAAAAATATAAGGAGAAATGATATGACATATACGGGCACTTGTGTTTATATTGTCTCGTTAAAAAACCTTTATGAGAAACCATTAGGGAAATACTCATGAAGGGAAAAGGAGTACAATATATGCAATCTTAGGATTGTTAATAGGTTATAGATTTGGGAGATTACTCCCCCTGAACTTTGCAAACCTGGAGAATGTGTAATACAAATTCCATTGATATGATCATGACATTATGAATAATCTGTAGGATTTTCAAAGTATGTTGTTTACATATTGTTTCCTCACTTTTCTATAATTCGTGAGGATAAGTAATTTCCGAGCAATGTACTTTATGATATCGCTCTTCATATAACCTGTAGTTTTTGAGTAACACAAGTGGTAGCATCTTGACAAATCAAGTTATGTGATTCCGATGAATCCCAACCACATGATTTTCAGTGTGGTTAATCATTGTGCTGAGCCATGCATATTTGGCGGTACTTTTAGATAAAGCAATTATGTTAGAATGATTAGTGGAAGTAGCCGTTAAAGTGTATTTAGATGAGTTCCATGAGAAGACTATGACTTCAATGAGAAGACTACTCCAGTGAATTCAGTTACTAGTATGGCATTGTTGGGATCAAATAAAGAGTCAATATCATTTCATCGTATCATGGCCATATCTTAATTTTCCTGATGGAATTACCCAAGATTTATTGTGAGCTTGAGACATAAGTTGATATTTCTTATATTGACCGTACACCTTTTGTTGGGGGTTCACTCTGAACAAAGATAGCAAATATAGTATCAGGCCTCACGTAGTTTGCAATTATATGAGTGCTTTAGTGTTAGTGAGATGTGAAACTTTAGGTCCTAATATCACTTCATTATCACCCCTAGGTATGAATGGATTTGTACCTTATCAGGGGTAGTATGACGATATTACATGTCTTTTTATTGGTATGATATATCCACACTGAACTTCTCGCATATGTATTGGATATATGTAGATTGATATGTATTCCTAACAGAATGCTCAAGTTGTAAGCTTAAGATAAATTTGGTTGAATCCAAATTTTCTGTCTTAATATGATTTTATGTATTACTAGGTCATGTAGAGACACTAATGACGAAATCATCAATATACACTAAGGTGATGTCAGGAAATCAAATTTGGGATTCCTTTGTTAAACATGTAAATAATCATCATTATTCGAGTAATCCTTTTGAAGAAGGAACTCATTTAGTCGGTAGTACCATATGATTTGACCGTTCCAAATCATAGAGTGACTTTGAAGTTTTACACAAAAACATGTCGCGATTTGTTTTTGGATTCAGAATTGTAAGCCCTTCAGGGACTTTAATATAGATATCCGAAATGAGTGATCCATATGAGTATGTAGTCACTCCATCCATTAACTGCATGAATATTATTATTATTTCATTGCCAATGATATTTAGTATCGAAACATAATTCCACTCATACCAAGAGGGTATGTTAAATCATAATTGATGTCGGGTCTCTGCGTGAACCCTTTTGCTACAAGCCTCGCTTTCTCACCACCTCGTTGACTTTGTCTATGAATGAGAACTTTCTAGTATCCCATATGGAAGATAATTATGAGGAGTAGGTATTAGTGCAGCATATACCACTCATTTGTTGTGCGAGTGCTATTCTTCATTACTTGCTTCCTTTTATGTGAACCAATATGAGTGCAAGAGGCACTCTACCATGGATTTTGGTTCTAGGCTCAAAAGGTTTTAGCAATTTGAGAAGAAATATATGTCGACAAATGTAGTCTTTAGTTTATATGATTTTGATGGAATCATTGAGGTTTGTGGATGAAATATTTATTCATTTTAACTCCTTGTGATTTCCTACAACAAATGGAGTCATGGTGTTTAAATGTCCCATCACCAAAGCATTTGTGCACATTTATGCCAGGCTTTGGATGATGAGCATCCAGTGAGGTGTCTTTCAACTTGATGTTAAATTACATTTACTGGTTGAGGATTTGATTCCTCTGTTTCCGCGGAAGCGTGTGAGAAGTTATAACTCATCATGTTAGATTTTCTCCCGCTCTTGCTCTCATTTGGGGAGAAGAGTGGTTTATCAGGTACCTCCACTCTTTCTGATACTTTATTATAGGAATATAGAATTTAATAACACCTTGTCATCAATAAATGTATGTGGCAGATTTGCAATGTGTTGCAAATATATGATTCTCTAAACTTTTAGTTTATATTCTTTGAGTACGTGGATATAAGGATTTAATATCAATAACATTGCTAATTTATTTCTCGGCATTCTTTGTGGTACTTATCTCCCCTAATGCCGAAAAATATCCTTATTGCTGATGCAATCAGCATACGGGCTATAAATAATTTTGATTGACGAATACATTATTATTCCTCACATAGATCCTTAATTTTCTGTGAGTGCCCATTGATGTATGCTGGAGTGGTGATATCAGTATGTGACCGAATTATCGCAGATGAGAAATAATTTGTTGATTTCCACGTAGTTACTACAAGGGGAAAGTAGTATGATATGTAGTTGGTATGATCTAGATCATACTTATGGTGTGTAAGGTCGTATGTGTCCAGCAAGAGGCTGGTAAATTTACAATTCTTTAAAAGTAGTCATGTAATTCATTTGACTATCTTTGATAAGAAATTTAGTCAAACCATTCTGGGTATGTACATAGGGTACTGAATGCAAACAAAAAAGGTATTTTTATATCCGTGCCCCTAGTTCCTTAGCCATACTCATTCATCCCCACGCTCTTAACTTTTGCTCACTTTTCCCCACTCTCTTGTCTAAAACCCTCAGAAATGGTCACAAACGGTGGATGCCGTCGGGTCAGTGCTTTGTCCGTTAACTCTGACGAGTGGGGTTGTGCTGGAGTATGTCGCCCGTTGGACCTGACAATTGGGGCCATGTGCCGCTGTTCGCCCATTGGGCCATGGTTAGACTGTTGGGCCCTACGTGCGCTGCAGTGACATAAGCATGTTATGCATGCATGACATGTCCAGCTAGCCTGCTATGCATGCACGTAGCTAGCCTTCCTGCATGCGTTTATGCCCGCCGCCACGA